TATTTATCATATATTAGCTGAATAAAAATAATATATATATTATACAATTATAATTTTAACATTTAACAACATTAATGCAGCAAAGCCTATCCAAAACCCCAATAAAATCTAGGCCTCAATCTAGGCCTAGCGCATATATAAACAACGCGTAAAATTGCGCGTATGAGCCCGTGGAGTTGTCAAGAACGCCTAGTAAAGCCAAAATATTTGCTGTTTTCAATCGAAAATTTTTAAAAATCGGAAGAAATTGTCCAATTGGCCAATATTTCACAGAATACAAGAACAGACACTGATTGTTCATTGGCGACCAACGATAACATCCAGAAAAATTGCACAATTTTGTAAAAAGACGATAATTACGACCATGTTTAGCGATATTAACATTTACGGAGTTAGGGCGTTGTTTGTTTACATTTTTACTGTAGACTGGCCTTAATTTTCTCGTTAAAATTCATGATTTTTATATAAATTCATGCATTGCAAAAATGTTGTTTAGTAGCTGATATAAAAATTAGACAAACAGAACATGAATGGGGGGATATTATACTCATATATTATTTTTAGCACAATTATACTATGTACCAAAAAATGCAGTTCCGCTAGGCTCGCATGATCCCAATCGCGACATGAGTGTGTTCGTTCGAGGCTTGCGGTGCGTAAGTATATAAAAGGCGCGTTGAAAACACTTATTGTCCCAATATAGTGCGTATGAAACCGCCGTGCATTGAGGCTCCTGGAGAAATGACCAAAAATAAAACAATTTTTGTCTCCAAATATGTATTTTCTTTGATGCGATAGTTCTTCCGATTTGATTGATGGCTACGATTTGTGAGGCAATATAAAGGCCTAGTCGGCAAAACAGAGTGGAAAATTTTCAAGTTTAGAAATCTAGGCCAAAGCTTAATAAAAAATATTATTTTCGGCTTGTTCTTGCCGGTCGCATAACATGTATTCGCGGGCCGGAAATGGTGCACGGGCTGCCAATTAAGAACCCCTGCTATAAATCAACAGTTCAATATCAAAATAATCATGTCCTAAGGTCAGGAAATGGTCAACAAACCATTTATTTAACCTTATTTTGGTAGTTAATCATTTCAATAATATATGCACATGTAAAATGGCAAATACTCAAAAAATCATGTTTATCTTGACTCTAATAGTGTTGTACTTTTACTTCCTATTACTAAAGCTTGACATGTACAATTTCAATGAATGACAATTATTAAAGATTACATTCCCAAGTATCTGAAAATACCAATAATTTCAATTTTTTACTACAACTTAGTCATGTTGCCACAACTTGCCTCATATGGGCAAATCGCATTTATTTTTCACATAAAAGTGGACAATGTGGACAAAACTTTCGACCAAATGACCAGTTAACCGCCGTTTAGCTCAATCTTTGTAAGCATATTTCACTTTTAAGAGGCCTAGACAAAAACTGACGCAAACTGACAAAAAATATGACGCAAGAAAATCACATACCAGACTGGGAGAACATCAATATCCTACATAAAGAACAAGGGTGGCTAAAACAAAAAATTAAAGAATCAATATGTATTAGGAGAAATAACGCTAACAATGAATAGAGACGAAGGCACACATCGCCTCTGACACCTATATGATCAACTGTTAAAGACGGCTGGAGCGGCCCACTACCAATGAACATCGGCGGAAACCCTTCAGAGATTCTGACGAAGCCTGACTGATAGCCAGGCGAAACTGTCAACAACAAAAAACAGTGAGTAATATTTGGTTTATCTCAAGGAATTATACATATTTGGAGACAAAAATTGTTTTATTTTTGGTCATTTCTCCAGGAGCCTCAAGTCTCCAGCAAGTCGCAGAGTATCACGAAAATTGCGAAGACCTCCACTCCAGCACACTGAAAGAATCTTCAATAAAATAACCCAACTCCTGTAAATTCATAAAATCTGCATGTTCCCCCAACCCCCACATTTCTCTCAAGGAAGTCAATGTCAATTGGTATCCCTATAAGTAACAAAACAAAATTAGATGTGAAAAGAAAGTTGGCTTCAAGAATTTTCCCGGAAATGATTTCTTCCATCTTAGGACCCCTGTTTCTCTTATGTCTTTCAACTTACTTACTTATTACTTAAAATTGAGATTGAGGTAAATTCTTGGTTGATTTGAAATGGAACTAGCCAACCCTATTACAAAAGTAGATGCAATATTTGGTCCAAACTTCAATATAATATATATTCCAAAATGTTTTCTATGACTGATATATAAATTAATAATAAATAAATTTGTAAATGTGGTATAAATACTGTGCACCCTCCAATTCTAAACCCATCTAATTCCGAGACCCCTCTAATTCGAGACCACTTTTCCAAGTACGCAAATAACATTCTTCAACCTTTTAACACAAAGCTAGCCCTCTAATTGGAGACCAACCCCCGAGTCCACCCTAAATTTTCAGGTCCCAAGGGTAGTCTCGAATTGGAGGGCAAACTGTACTTATAGCAAATAACTTACCCTAAAGAGGTTTCTGCACCACCATTTTTAGGCCTTTGTGTTGATTTTTCAAACGGGCATAATTTGTATGTATATCTGTACATGAAAAAATATTGTGAAAATAAATTAAAACAAAAAATAATACGGAGAAGTAATGATAATCACAGCTTTATAACTTCTGAAATAAAAACTGTCCAAAATCTAATATCGCAAAACATCAGACACTGTATTTATATGTCCTCTTCGTGACTGAGACTCGTAAATGAATGACGACGACAATTAGCTTGTTAGAAATATAACAAATTAATTTAAAAAATGATACTCATAAAAAATTAAGTTAAAAAATGATACCTATCCTATATTTTCTCCTTACAATAAATTTTCTCTCCATTTAAAAAAAAATTTGTTTTCTTTATCCATTCTCATTCCTTAATCCATTAAAAATTCTTATTCATTTGCTTACCTAATTTCCTCTCATTACCTTTCACTTTTTCCTTTCTCCTTCCTATTTCCTCTCCTTATTTCTTTCCAAATGGCAATTGTACAGTTAAACTTGCCTTAGGCACCTAAGTCGAATTTGCCTAACTCAAATAATTTCTAAGTCGAACTTATTTTAAATACCAAATTGTTGTGTTTCCATTAATAAACAATCTGTAAGTCAAATTTTATCTAAGTCAAACAATTTTTCAATGGCATTTTGGATTCAACTTAGGCACGTTCAACTGTACTCCTTTTCCTTACCAATCTTAGTCATCATCCATTCTATATTTTTTCCCATTTAAAAATCGTATTCTATACCAAAACATTACTTTATATTTATTCTTACTTTCCCAATTCTATTTTAACCTATTATTTCTCCTGATAAAGTATGTCTCCTTGATCTGCCCCTTTAATCTTTCTTCTGCAACTTCATTCACTTACCCACTTCCCATACCCATTCTATCCATTTCCTACTTCTTAACCAGGCTACTTTTCTAAATCTTCCTACATACTTACTCTCTATCGGTAAATTCAAAACACTGATCTTGTAGAATGGCAAATTCCTGATCAGGTCCAAAATCTTTGCTCTGTAGTTTCTCCAATGCACTAATTTCATTATTTAATCCAGTGTACTTATTATTGGCTTCATCAAACTCACTCCTGGCTTTATCAGCAACTGCAAAATAATAATATATACACTTATACTGTATTTTCAAAGCAAAAATGTTAAACAAATTTTATTTTATTGATTGTTTTAGCCCCACCTAACAATTCTTAATGTTTTAAACAGGATTTAGCACTGAGTCGTAAGACAATTGGCCGAAGAATCAACATCCACTCTCTTTAATCTCTGCAGGCCTTGTAAGGTACCCTTCTTCATGGAATTACATCAGCCAACAACCATCAGAGCAGTGTCTCTTGTGTGGATGCTTAATTAAACTTCATCAAATTTCTCATTTTTTTTTTTCATTTTATATATTAGTTATTTAAGGTTTGTTTATACTATGACGGTAACGATCAACAATAAAAAGCTAAAAAGAAATTGTTCATATAGAAAATTAAAAAAAAAAGAAGTTTTCACACTAGCACAATTCGATAAACGATTTATTTATATAGCATTATACACAAAATAAGTGGAACTTAACTATTATTATTATTAAATTCCATTATTAAATTGTATTTTTCTATCTGTTTCTATCTGAATACTGAATATATCTTTAACGAAAAATAAAGACATACTCATTAATATAATATCACCATTACGTGTTTCTGACAATAGTATAGAATATATTATATACAAATGCTATCTTCATTCACTCACTTTCAATAAGTTTCTTAGTGTTCTCATTGTAATCTGGCATTTTTTCTTCTTCCTCTTCTTTCACAGCCTGTTTCTTCTTTTGTCTCCTTCTCTTAGCCGCTTCTAAAACTGCCTGTGATCGCTTCAAATGCTCTTCCTCATCGACCTCATCATGTTCATCTTCATCTTCATAATCCTCATCATAATCATCGTAATCATCATGGTCAAGGTCCTCTGAAATGTCTCCTGCAGTGTCTTCTTCATGGTACTGCTCTGGCTCTATACCAGGAGGTTGGGGTGCATCGGTAGCTTCAGTGTCTTCTTGTTTTTTTTCTACTTGCTAAACAAAATTTAAACAAAATATTTCTTGAATTAGAGTTTTGCTCTTCTATGGCTATGAATTTATTATCATGCTTCTGCATGAATTTCCATCCACTTCACTTCGGTCCCATTATCTAATCCCCTTCTGCTCCGATAGCCTTTCTCCATATGTACAGGTATCAGTGGCAGATCCATGAATTCAAAACAGAGGGGGCACAGGGAGAGATTTTCACAGACAAAATGTTCTCCCACCTCAGCACTACCATGGTTGGGCTGAGGAAAGACAATTTATCTAGAGGGCCTGAAATGGCACTCTCAGACTTGAATTTGATTATAATTTTATTTTGTTCTCCACTGTGTATTGTTTTTTCCTTATAAAGTTGTAATTTGCACTCATGATTACCACAGTGTCACTTAATGTTATATTGAACCTAATAAAGATCATATATCATGTGAAGCATTATGTGGGCAAAAAAATTTGTTTTTCAGTGTGTCAGGCTGTCTGTTAACAAGATTACGCAAAAAATAATGAATGGATCACCATAAAATTTAGTGGAAAGGCACATAATAATCGAATAAACACACTATTCAATTTCTGGAAGAAAAGGTCAAAGGGCAAGGTCAGGGTCACAGAAATTATATATTTTTTTACCCTCAAGCATAAAGGAAAATAATAGAATCACTCCATGTATTCAGGAGCACTCAAGAAAATAATATGCCTGAAGACAACTGGTGATTTCATTGTTTTCTTGAGGGTATTCTGCAGCACTAAAGAAAATAAATGTGCCTGAATACGACTGGTGATTCTTAATTTTATTAAGGGTATGCTGCAGTTTTGCCCATTACCATGACCTGTGTATTGTAGGTACTTTACTGTATTCAGGCACAGGGTGGAGGAATGCTCTCCATAGAGTGACTCTCTATTTTTACATAGTTTTACTTCACTATCCATCAATCAAACACTATAATAATTTTAATTTAATACTTTATTAAACCAATTTACTTCATGCAATGTTTTATTTCATAAGTTAATATGATTATACCAGATTCTAATTTCAATATATTGCATCCAACGATCTGGATAATTTGAAGCACAGAGGTCTTACTGATTAGTATTCATAGGTAATATTAATATTATTGATTCATAGTTTTTATAAAAACAAAAAGAAATGTTCTATTCAACAAGGCGGAGTCTCAAATCTTTCATTGAATGAAAACATTCTTTCCATTGCATGAATACAGAAAATTCATAATTCATTTTATGACTCGCTTAAATAAAAATAGATCCTTGTCATTTGATATTGTTTACCTTTCTTCTGAAGGAAGCAGTCCATCTCCTTTCAACCATTGCATGGAACAAAACGAATAGAACAAAAAATGCATGGATAGAAAATGTTCATGATGAGTGACGAAATGGTGTAAAACACGGAATTTCGCATGATACAAAATCCACCAATCAAATGACAAGGATCTATTTAGGTGTGTTACACTAAGTACTGTACCTTGTTGATTTCTTCGTAAGTTTTTTTAAGTTCTCCATCCGTCCAGAGATTTGTAACAAATGCTTCTTTGTCCACCTGACTCTGGCCGCCAAGAACTTTCTATTAAAATGGTGAAAAAAAAAAATGTAAATAAAAAGTGGTGTATATTTACCTCTTGACAGAGTGAGAGGGATCATCTATTTCCCCAATTAACTTCATGAGAATGCAAACTATATGTTAAGAGTACAAATCTCAACCATGATTTTAGTCACAATAATCACCTTTTTTTGACAGAAAAGAGTATGCATAAAGAGAATAATGTTGTTCAGAAGTTTTATTTATTTATTTAATAGGATTTATATAACAGCTAAAGTGTTAGTGGATACAGAACCATATACACCCAAAGGAGTATTATGCGTGTAACTACGCACCGCCCAGTTCATTCCAAAGTAACCACCCAACCAGGTACCCATATATATATGCTCCTGAGTGAAAATAAGCAAACTTGAAGTGTATTGTCGAAGACACAGGCCAGAGCGTTAACGACTGCACCACAAGCCTTCTACTACGGGTAGCCAGTGGTGGTGCCAGTGGAAGCTGGTGAGGAGAAACTTTGTTCTCATAAAAAGTATGTTTTAATTGTTACCGTGGCTTCTTCGTTGGATACTGCACCATCTTTGTCACTGTCAAAGCCTTGTACTAGCATAATCTCTTCTGTTGTTAGGCTAGAAATATAAAGAAAGGAAAACAATGTCAGTACTACTCCAAATGGTGTTTTCATCCGCAGATTCAATAAGAATCCTAACCTAACCTAATGTCAATAACATACGCGAATAAGCGCCTGGGCGCTTAAAACAGTATTTGAACTTTTTGAGGGGCGCTTATTCAAACAGGATACTTATGAAAACAGAGTGGAAATTGAGGGGGTGCTTACGGAAATAGATGAAATTTGAAGAGGATCTTATGGGAACTTGGAATATTCAAGGGGGGCGCTTTTTTGAATGAAAAATAAGGTTATATAGTACAGTATAAGGACATCTGGAAAATGAAGATAAACGAATGGTTCTGGTGTGCAGAAAAGATAATAGTTCAGAGAGCATGGCTTATGACAAGAATGTTGTCAGTATTTACACAAGAGCAGATGAAATTAGTGGTGGTAATAGTTGTTGGCAATCTGCCGATTGAGATTAGCAGGATCATTGTAAACTCAGATGAGAATGTGCTAAATTGCATATTTTCAGGGAAAAAAAAGAAGTGACCAGACAAATGTAAAAAGAGGAAAATTAAGAGGAAAGTTGGAAAGATACTATCCAGGGAGCTCCCATCTGAGAAATATCCTCATTTTGAAATTGACATTAGAAAAAAATGTGAATCCACTCCGAAGCTCAAATCATGCTCACCACAGTCCCAGGATTGACTGGACTATTGGCTTGCTAAAAAAAAAAAATCACATGATATTGTTGAGGGGCACTTATTCAAATTAGGAGTGGCGCTTATTCAAATTAGGTGGGACGATTACTCAAACTGGGCGCTAAAATTTTCACGTTATGAGGGATGTTTATTTGAGGGTGAGCTTATTCAAACGGGGGAGCTCATTCGATGCGACTACAGTATTTTGCCACGGATAATAATGACCATAATGATGATGATCCACAGATATATTTCCAGTGGTTTCTCTCAGTGGTGAAGTGGTCAGAGCACCAGGAGACAACCCTCTCTTTTTTCCTGAAGAGCGTAGTGCTTTCATTAACTATAGCAGCCAGTGGCAGATCCTGGAATTCAAAATAGAAAGAGCCCGGGGAGATATATTGATAAACGGATGGTTTAGACCATCTCAGAGTCACCATGGTTGGGGATGAAGTAGAAATTTTATGATTATGGCACCTCAGGATGGCTGGAAATGGCACTTTAAAACTTAAAACTGAATAGTTTTTCTTTTTTTTTCTTCATTTTTTAAGTAACTTTGAGCACCCTCTTAAATCCAACTATAAACAGTTCTGTAAAGGTTGTGCTTCTGAACATTCCCAACAATTAAATCATAAACGGATCTTCCTTGTGGAATACACTAATCAATACATTTGATATTCCACTAGGAACTGTTAAGATATCTTACATGCCGTCCCCATCTACATCCATCTGATTGAAAGCATTCGTGGCAGCTTTTTCTTCCTGTTTTTTCTTTTTTTCCTCTAAATACTCATTCCATTTATTCTCATGCTCTTCTTTTGCTTTTTTCTCCGGCTCTTCCGCAGCTAACTTGATAGCTTCAGATAAAAAAGACATCAGCAAAAGAAGTTAATTAATTTTAATAAATTAATTAATTTAATAGCTGATTGAGCAGCTGATTAATTAAATACATTGACTACCACAGGGATGAGTGTCACTCTTTCCCCTTTTAAGCCAAAATAGGTACGAGATACCTTGTGCAATATCAAAATTATGAGACTTACCATCCCATAACCAGTGCACTGTCGCTAAATGTTAAACTGAGTAATTATGTGACAGTATTGTATATTTAGTACAGAGAGGCCTTAGATACTTGTAGTCATAACTTTGGCATAGTAAGTCGATTTTAGTAAAATGATGTGGAGAATGGAAATACAGTATTATAAAAATTCAATTTTCTTGTTTTGCTCAATGGTACTGGATTTTAATAATGTAATGTAAATGATTTTTTTAAATTACTGTCTTTAATATAATGTGGCAAAGACAAGCCAAACCAGTTACTCGTCGCAAATCCTGTTTCAGAGATAATGGCCAAACCATGCTGCAATGACAACAGTTTTGAAATCTATTTAATTGCACTTAGCTAACCTTTACATATCTATGTATCATGCTATGCTGTTATTTTTCCCATTTTCAATATTAAAACAAACATTTTTCAACGATTTGGCTATGGTTTCTGCACAAGAAATGCCCAAAATTTGAAGGCTGATTTCTCAAATATTGTTTTTTAAACAGCTGTATGTTCAAACTCCTGTAACGTCATAACAAAATGTTCGTTCTAAATGAGTCTTTTACCATTTTATAGCTCTCATTTTGCTGTTTACCCTGTGTTAATAACTAAAAATCGATTTTTGCGATGAGTGACTGGTTTGGCTAGTCTTTTCCACATATTGTAATGTATTTATATGTACATGCAATATCTTTTAAAATAATAAATTTGTACAGTATTTTTAATGTTTTATATAATGTAATAATGTTAAGGCAACCTGTAATTGGCTTTTCTTTGTTGGATAATGATTTGAAAAAAAAAAAAATTCCTCCTATACCTTCTTTGCCTTCTTTTAACTGTTCGAATTCTGCTAATTCAACTTTTTTACTAGACAATTTGTCCTACATAAGAAATAATGAAAACAAAATCAAATAATGAAAAAAAATCAATCAATCAATTAATCATTTAGTAATCAAACAAATAATCCCTTACAGATCAATCAATAACCAATTAACCAACCAATCAACAATTAATATCTGATCAGGCACTTAATATTTAATATTGAATATTTAAAAATGTATTGTCCCATGGAAAAATGGAAAATACCAAAAAAAAATTTTTATTTAACTTGGGTCAATTTGAAATTAACATTAAATGTATCAACATAGAAATTAGTTTATTTCAAAAATTTGCACCCATAATTTTACAGGCAAACTTGGGAGTATCCCTAGTTACGCGTTTAATCAGCACTACTAATTTCATTCCGAATCATTCACTCCCCACCGGTACCCATTTATACTGTACTCCTGGGTGAAGAGAGGCAAACGCAGGTAAAGCGTCCTGCACAAGGAGTGCAAAGAGCATCGGACTTCGAATCCCCAAAGCACAAAGCCTTTCACGCTGCCCACACAAGCTCCTACTTTAATATTCAAATTACCATATATATTCAGGGCTAAAGGTAAAGGTAGTCAAACCAGTACAGTTTCGGAGGGCCCATCCCTCTTTCTTAAGCGTTGTGGGGGCCCAGACTGTGCAATGCTTTGAGGGACAGTTTGAAACCCCCAACCAAGAGGTTGAAAGTCCAAGCCTCAATTGAATATCTCAACATTCAAAGAATATCAACTATTGCCATACTTCCGTCTCCTTCTGTTTTGCTTGGCCGTGCTGTATGTATGCTAGCCGAATTTCGAAGCCTTCATTCTGCAGAATAGCATCTTTCCTTCGTTGTTCTCTATCGGCTCTGCCTAGCTCTTTACAATCGTTTATACACTTGGTAGAACCTACTTTGTATTCATCACTACCATCGCAGCAATCGCATATACCATCATTGACACGCGACGACGGTATATATATAGGTATATGTCCAGCATTGGTGCAGTGGAACTTTCCATTAGGGCAAGCAGGGGTACCTAGAAATAAGAAACACAATAGAATTGTACAAATCAGTTGTGGTATCAAATTTAATTTTGACAAATCTGTGTGCATTGCCCATGTATAGGCATGATAATGTCATCCACATATGGGCCAATCAAGAAATATTTGTTGCATACTGAAATTTTATACTTGAATAGACCTTTAAGGCCTGTTTCTACTGTTTTTCTTTTAAGAATTATTCTTTGCAGCAGTAGAAATCCGGCCAAGAATTATTGTTTGCAGCAGTAGAAATGGGGCGACAAAATCTTTTTGGCATTCCAAAGAACAACTCTTTGGTAGAGGATCAATAAAGTGCCGGAACGCTAAGGAACTGTTCTTCGTAGCAAAGAATCATTCTTGGTAATGGTAATGGTAATGGTGGGAAATTTGTAGTGCGCCTTCCACAATAAAATCGTCTCAAGGCGCCGAAAAAAGATAGGACCAAGAATTTTAAAAATTAAATTATATTATATCTAATATTAAAGAGCCTATATTAATCAGAATATTTTTTTTAAATTTAATTTATTAAAAGTAAAAATAAATATAAATAAATGAATAAAGTAAATAAATAAACAAATAGAAAATAAATAAATAAATAATTGATAAATTAAGCCTTCAAAAACAGGCAGACCAAAGAATGGAAAAAACCAAGCAGCAACATAAAAAATGCGCACTCCTGTTGTTGAGACGGCGTCACCACCACTACCGCGTACACGCAGGTACTCCGGCGACAGTATGCTGGGCTCCGGTAGCTTCTACCTTGGATAAGCCTCGGCTCTACTACTGTGCACTGCTAAGGTGGCGACGCCGGCTCAAGTAAGGGAGTTGCGACTTTAATGAACAAAAAACAAAACACTTAAAATACTCTTAAACTACAAAAATTGTAAAAAGATAAACTTAAAAAAGGTGGGTTTTAAGTTTCTTCTTAAATGTATGAACGGAAGTTGATTCACGGATAGAGGCTGGTAGCAGCAAAGAACCGTTCTTCACTGGGTAGTTGTAGCTGCAACACAAATAGCAACCCAATTTAACCTAGGTCAACCTAGCCAGTAACAGGTTAACATTTGTTCTCAACATACAGTAGCATTCTTTATTTGAGTACTACAGTTTAACCATTGTATTATTTGAATACAAACATAGTTCCAAGAGATAAAATGAATTATCTTGTCTGTTTGAAAAACTTCTTACCTGGTTCATCTGAGCTATCCTGACAGTCACAGTAATCATCATTCACTTTACTAAATGGAATCTTTGCTGACCCATCGATGCAAGTGAACCACTCTGGGTCGATACTATAGAATTGTTGCTCTGTTGAAAATGATCAAAACAAGTGCTAATTATTCGCCACTTATCAAAATTTCCATTATTTTTTTTTAAGGAAGTGGATATTTACGTGACTGTAAAAAAATCTGTATATGATATATTTATGTGAAATAAATATTAACGCATGCGCTGTCATATCCAACTTCCTGCAATCAAAATTTATATCAGAACAAGCCGTGGTGCAAGCCCACCACAGCACTAATATGCCAAGGCCCTTTTGTTGGCAAGTTAAATTTATGAATTTAGTGTACCATGAATCCACAGTGTACAAAAATCAAATCTTCCCCAAACTTGTAACTGTGTTTAGTCATGTTAAACAAACCAAACAATGTTTTTATTCAACAACATTCAACAATCGACAGCAAACCAACCCACATGGGGAATCCTCAAATTGGTTGAATGAATTTTTATAAACAGTTTACGACAGGGAGGTTTGACGTTTGTAAATTTATAGGTATTTGATTATAGTTTTACCATTTTTTAACGTAATTAAATTTGCTACAGTAGTATGAATTTTAATCATTAAATAGATTATTGAATCATTGTGATAATGAGCTAGAAATAAGCCTACTGTATTTGTATTCGTTTCACTCCCATAGCCACATCTGAGCGAGGCTATTTATACCATGCTCTCTACATCCATACTTCATAGACAAATGCACAGCATACAGTATTATTTCTTTCAAATTAACTGCCAGTGTTGTTTTTTTAACTACTGTACAGGTAGCGACAACATGGGAAAATGTGTTTGAATAAAACATTAAAAATATATGCTTTGCCTACTTGATTCATAATGATTACATACGTGTATGCATATTTGTTGTTTACTTTTTGCATCATAGCATACATGGTATGCAGACCTGAGAGATGTTATGGGCCTAGGCCTATCTATATAAGCATAACATAAGCTCATAAGCTAGGCGAACTTAGGGCCTAGTAGTAGGGCCAGCCAGACTATATTACATACTATACATCTCTCGGTGTTCTTTGTGCTCTATCAGGTCTTGATGCTTGACCCAAATAAAGATTATAATATAACCCCAAAGTTGAGGGCACTGTCATGCTGGGGCTATCTCTGATTTTTTTCTGCCGTATTTTCTTGGAAGAAACATCGCCGTTTTGCATGTTTTTTTCACTTTTGCACTTGTATCATTGCTCGTTTTCCTTCACTCGTCACTTTTTGCCTTGCTTTATAGTCCTGTGGTTTCTTTTTTGTCTCAAATTACTGCAGCTTTGTTCTGTTCGTTGGCTATTTCAAAATTTGTATACAGTATAATATTTACCTCCCTCTTTTTTGCTATTTTTTATCTGTTTATATTTTTTTATTAATCTGTGAATTTGTCCTTTTATATGATTGTCTTTTTTATATGATCGTCTTTTTTGTAATTATGCTTTATGTAAATCCCAAGCAATTCAGTTTTTCTGTCATTTGTGGATGTTTTTGAAATAAATAAATAACGACGTTGTTGTTTTTGTTAGTGACAACGTCAGCAAATGTGTTTGAATGAAAAAATTATTACTTCGTGATGATTAAATATTGTACAATACAGGCTTAGCCCTAGAAGAATATCGTTTTCGAATACTGTATCAATTTCATGGTATTGAGTGCTACTGTACTTTAGCAGGGAACCTCCATGTTTTGGTGTAGGCCTAGTACTGTACATTGTCCAGTTCAACAAATGATGCGAGTAAAATGAAAACGACACAAATATTTCAGGCTCATAATATCACTATTACTACTATTTGAAATAGTGATATATTTATTGATTAAACTACATACTATTGTAGGAAATAAAATTATGTTTAATAAAAACAAAAATTAAATCAGTGTTGTGGTGAGCTTGTGTATCACGGATTAGGTCGATGCTAATTTAGAGTGCTGAAAGTTGAATCTATAGTCTGTACACTGTGCATGCGTTATGTATTTCATGTAAATTGTTGTACATTCAAATGGGAACTTTCATGCTCAACAAAAAATCTGTTATTATAAGTATTTTTGTATTCGGTTGGTTAAATAAGAATATTATTATTGTACCTTTTCTCTGTTTTATTTAACATTTCTTAGCCAGAATCTTCTATGCCAGCCTTAATTTTTCAAGTAGATTGCTACAGTTCATTAAAATAGCTAAGTTAATATCATTAGTTTTTTAATTTTTGGCCTACTTTGCCAGTGGTATCTAGAATAACCTAAACTACTTAAGCCTGGCATCGTCCTCTCGTCTGCTTAGAATTTCCGCATGGCTGGTTTCCAATATCAGCCTATCGCATATTTAGTGTGGCAATGGAAGTGAGAGCATACAATTGTAAAACTTCCTATTCTACCAACCACATGGTGGCATTAGAATAGCAAATTTAGCACTTGAGTGGAAGTGCTGCACTTCCATGAGTATGTGCGCATGCTCATTTTCTCATTGCTTGCTTCTCTCTACAGTAGCTATAATCGGGTTATTTTATTACTAGACATTCTATGATCTCAATGATTAAAGTTAAAATAAATTTTTCATACATACGACCGGTATAGAAGTAACTTGTATTATATTGTTAAATATACAGGAATAGTAATTTTTTGAAGAGAGGAAACTGTGCTTATCAGATTATATTCCAGTTTTATTCAATGATAATCTTAATGATAATGACTGGAATTGTTTTTAAATACTTTACAAATAATTATTTTGATATTTCTGTCACATCTGTTTCTTTGGTTCCAGACAGATGGGCACTGCCCTAAATAATACCAGGTACTGCTCAGTTGTTTTGTATTTTTGTATTTTTATGTACCTACCACCTAGAAGGCTACTGTATGTAATAATAAATTAAATCTGGGAGGTACTGTATGTAATATAGCCTGGCTGGCCCTACTACTCTAGGCTCTAAAGTTCGCCTAGCCTGTAGGCCTATTGAATGACATTTTTTGATAGTAGAAATAAGTTTTAAAAACGTTATATTCCACTAACAAATTAGAGGAATGACATATATCCTAGGCTTATTATGCTACAGGCCTAGGCCTAGGAGTAGCCTAGGACCATTACATCTCCCGGGTTTGCACTAGTTCAGGCAGGTTTAGGTGACCTGGTGTTACTAGTAGTAGACCTATCTTTCTCTACTTTTTAGGCTAGAGGCTTAGACCTAGGCTACGTCCTGGAGGCCCTTCCTAGAAGAAGGCCTAGCCTAGGCCTAGGCTGGCCGGTTGTTACCAATCGTGCCCCACCAGTCGCAGACAATGATTGACATCAAGTCAACATGGCTCGGAGGAGCAGTTACTTACTAGAAATTGAAACACCTCGTAACCTTGTATTCTCACACTTTGAGAATTGAACTATAATCAGCACATACGAAAATATCCAACAAACTGAACGCTTCATAGTTAAAGAATACATTAAACTTCCCAGCAACTATGCCTAGGCCTCTGCCTACCCTTGCGAATAATGATGACGCCGGTCCTGTCGGTGATGCAGCAGCTAACACATGCACACGTCGCTCTTCCCATAGAGGCTGTCTATTCTTCGCATACACGAAAGCGCGGTTGTCGAGTAATACTGCCACCTATAAATATCAAGCTTATTTTCATAAAATATAAATGACGTTTTATTTATTTATTTATGTTTATAAGGCCTACTCTCCCTTAGGCGAAAAAAAAAATTCTAGCCTAGACCTAATTTTTTATTGCAATGGGAAAATTAGAAGCTCATTTCACGCCATCAATCAAAATTTTTCCAGGGACACCCCCTCCCCCACCTTTCTCTTTGGGTTATCGATTCATGGAAAGAATAGGTATGCAACTACTCATTTTCTTTTTTTTTTCCTTCTTTTTTTTAAATGTATGTATATGCGCATAATAGGCCTATATAAGAACGAGAAAGTTTTCTTGACCGTTTTCAAGATGGGGAAAACCTTGAATTTTGAAGAACTTAAAAGTCATTACAAGACACCTCCTCAATCAACAAAAGTCGGGAAAGCTCATTTCCTGCCATCTATAGGAATAATAATAGCAGGGGCGGATTTAGGGGGGGTCGGCCCGGCCCCTCCCCCCTTTTTGGGAGGTGAAAAAAGAAAAAAAAAAGAAAAAAAGAAGGAAAAAGAAAAAAATGATAGCCCACAACGCCTCAAATGTTATTTTCGGGCGTCTAGAACACAAAAATTTCGCGGGGGCATGCCCCGGACCCCCTAGGGCATTGTTGTCTCGATCGGCCCCCTTTTGGACATATCTGGATCCGCCCCTGAATAGGCCCTATTCAAAGCACACAATTGAAATTAACTCTAAATCGATGGTAATATTATATTATAAGGCCTACGTTATATACATTATATATATAATTATACATGAAGATACTGAGCACTTTAATGAATATTCAGATTCGTGATACTTTGACTTTAGAAACTATATTTATTTAAGGCGAATTTTTTGAGTCGACTCCTGTAGTCTTTATCTCAACGCTTGACATTAAAATTATTTTTGATAAAACCATACATATGTTTTATGTTTATACAGTATTATTTAATTTGTTGGACCTTTTAAAAGTAGACCTATCTTCAGCTGGGATAGTTTGGTTTATGCATGTTATAAGCCTGCGTTATAAAAATCTGTCAACCACGCATGGTCGAGGTTGCTTCACCTATCACGATGTATTCCAACCATCATGAGGCTATAAATGAGCATTTGTCATAATAGAACGCAAATTATTTTTGTGATGATGAAAAGTTAACACAAACAATATGGTGGCACCACCACTGATAATAATAAATATTATATTATTAATATTATTGATATTATTACTCATATTAACATCACGAAATTCACATAATTATGATATATTTTTGTTTCAAGTGGACACGATTCTATGATTCTGTACAAATGTATCTTAGAAACTGCTGAATTTCTACTAAAGCCTGTGTGCGAGCGAAGTACAATAAACGCCGGGAACCAGGGAACAATTATTTTCCAACCATTGGCAAAAATCGTAATAAAAGTAGAAAATTACAAGATACACAATAATATTGTCCTAAAAAGGTCATAAAATAATAATTTAATAAAAAATAAAGCATACATCCTATTATTTAATTAATTTATAGTTGGTAAACTGTATACGTATTTATGAATATAACTGAGATTAAATGACAGTACGTTGATCCAGTCAGCTGGTACTAGGCTTAGACGATCGACAAGCCACGAAGTGCGTCGCAACGACTTCGACGGAGCCTATAGCACGTGGATAAGTGTGTTGTGTTTGAATCGATTTCCATTCGGTATTTGTTCGATGGAAATACCGTAATCTACGTCCTGACGATCGGGTTACAAATTCTACAAAAAGTAAGTTCTGGTAATAAAATAGGTTAGCGAGACGAGATTCCTAGTGCAGATTTAATGGTATACGAATTGAGGCCTCTAGGCCCTATGTAACAAGCTGGCTTAGGTCTACTCTCTCTACGGTAGGCCTACTGAGTTAAGAGTAGACCTAAGCCAGCATCAGGCCCCTAGAGTAGATAGGCCAGCCTCGGCAAGGCGCGCGAGGAGAGACACCTATCACTAGGCCAGCTGTAAGCTTAGCCATTTCGTAATCATTGTATTCATAAAGGCTTGAGCATTTTATTTCATATGGTTGGCTAGACAGGGATAGACATATAATGACTCATTAGCTCCCTCCTACTCTAGGCCCAAAGCCTATAGCATTACCAAATCAACAGGGGGATCAGGCCTACAGATTGTCATGTCAAATGCTCGGCAGTTTCTGTTTGCCGACTTAAAACCACGATTCCATTTTGCCGAAACACAGTTTGCTGAAACACAGTTTGCTAACAAGTCAATCAAAAGCATTGAAACATTAAAATCGGCATAAAATTAACGATGGAGCATAAATTCTCTTACTGTAGTGACTGTGTACGAAACTGGTGGGGCCAGCGGAAAGTAGGGGCCCGCTAGATTGAGACATGAGATTTTAGAGGCCATCCAATGTGAAGTGATCACTGTATTCGTATAATAAATAGCTGCTTATCGTAGTTTAATGATTATTTTTGTCTTACAGTATTCTGTAAATCAATCTTGATTATAAACAATTGAATTACCAAAAAAAAAAAAAAAAATTAAATAGGTCTGTGTCAGATAAAATGTCAAGCATATTTATAATAAGTACATCAAGAAAGTTAAATAAGATAATAATACAGAACCTTAAAGGAAATGGGCGTTTATTGTAGAGAAAGGGTTTTGAGGGGGAGTTTATTTAAGGGAGGCATTAATTTTTTTGTATGTGTAAAATTGATATATGTACTGAATGCTTAAACACCCGTTATTCCGCTGTAAATGTGATATTACAACACAATAATTACTGTCAAAATTTTTCATGGTCATAAAAGCGTATTGATCCCAACCAGCCAAAAATGTAATTCTACTGTCCATTAGAACAAATTAATAGAATGTGTTGGGAATGACTTTGTTTCGATAGATGTGTTTGGGGGAGTTTATTAGAAGAAAAATAAACGCCTTGCGACGTTTTCGGAAGAGTCGTTTAGAAGGGCAAACTGAGTGTCGGCAAACTGGGTTGTCATGATTTCGGTGAACTGGATTCAGCAAACTGGGTTTCTCAAAGTGGCTATTAATTCGGCAATCTGGATTTCGGCTAACTGGATTTCGACAAACTGGTCGGATACTGTAAAATTTTTCGATTGCGCAGATCATACTCAAAAACCAGTTCAAATGTCAAAGCCTAATTTTCTGCAAAATCTGTGCGGAAGTATAGGCCCTTTTTTTTCTGAAATGCAATGACAGATATCTATGCCAAATTTTTGCATGGATGATATACCATAATCCCTGTGTAGGCCTTATATTACAGTGTGTGGTTATACACATCTAGATGTGTATAAGAGACAGTTATAAGCCTGCGTTATAAAAATCTGTCAA